GATGTTGAATGAGATGAAGGGAAACGTCGAAATGTTAAACGAACCATCAGCCTCTCACTCCATGACAATTCAACTACAGATTGCTCAAATCACACATTTAATGATGGGTCACTATCCTCCGTTCGCCGATGATTCACCTAATTACACCATGGGTGATTTTAGGACAAAGAGTAGTCTTTGACTTGCGTCGTGCCGCGATGTTAACTCAGGCACTGTTTGGGAGGCAACCCAAAACCCCATATTATCTTATATTGGCGTACTAGTAAACTATTAGTGTCTTAAGTTTTATCAACTGAAGTGTAATAGGTGCCAAAGAGGTGCATAATGTCGAGAAGCAAATCCAGTTGGTGAGTCACCGAAGAAGTCGTCGATTAAATCTATTCCGCCGTTTGATTAAGGATATCTTCAAAGTCTAGAGTCTGTACACTCGGCGAGCTCAGGACAGTGTCGGTGAATCGCCCACCTGATCGGCGACCGAGATGGTCACCGCCATTTGAACACCCACAACTGCTGAGAAGTTTTGTAAAACTCGGCGAAGTAAAAATTTGTTCGGCGAAGCGCCGAATCACTCAAAAACCAAAACTCAACCACAGAATGGGAACGAACTGGATAAGCTATAGGCCAACACACAAAAAGGCAGCTGATTAATCACTCGAGAGCGTGGGTTGAAGATAGGCGCACTGGAATGCTAAGAAAAGTTGTACATAACTTGACGAATCTCTCGGCAATGCACCAAATGTCCCCAGCATACCTTCTGCTTTACGTGACATCTGTTGAAGGACTTCAACTCGAAACAACTGCCTAACCAGGATTATACTCTAGCCCTATCTCTGTCTTTCTTTAATTTGACCTCTGGATTATTGTTATACATTTGAGGACAAATGATTTTATCTATGGTGGGGTGAGGCTCACCTTTTTGTGTGCTTGTTTTAGATACTTGTGTTTTATATACATTTGGGTTGTCTGTTTATAATTGTGTTAATAACTGCTTTGGCAATTGTTTGAGCTTATGGTTCTCTTTTGTATTTAATTGCAAAATGAGTTTGACCCTTCCGAAATTTTTTGAATTTTTCGCACATTTTTGCCACCCCTTGTGAGTTGAATGTTACTGTTCTTTTGCAAAAAAATAGGTCTCGGTTTCAATCAATACCGATGACTTGAATAGTGCTCTCAATTGAACAAACATTAATGTATGGCTACGATGAGGCCAAATGAAGTTGCATAGACAATATGTTAACTCTTGTTATGACCGTTTCACACTAGCGAAAGTGTGTAGTCTTGCTTAACTTAAGTGTCGATGCCTTGTGTGATTAGGTTGCTTTGAACCATGCATGAATAAACCTAGAATTTGCCCTGTTAGTCTAATTGATTTAGAAAGGTGTCCTCTTGATATGATCTTAGGCAACTTTAAAGAGTGTGAGCCAAATTTGTCATATACCTCTTTTGTGGCCTACCCATGAGTGTGTGAAACTCTTTTTGAACACACTTTGAGCCTTACCTTTCTTTGGAAGAACCTTGATGAACCTTAGACCTCCCTTGACCCATTACCTATAATCCTCTTAATTTGTGGTTTAGTGAATAACCAACTTAGGGATGTGGTGAAAAGGAAAATGAGAAGTCAAGAAGTGCAGGAAAAGTCCCCTTTAACCCATGGTGTTGCAAAACAGTGGAAACCCCTTCAAATAAAAAATAAAATTAATATGTGGAATAAGCTACGAAGGAAATCCGTTTTCCAAGCAATCCAAAAAGGTGAATAAACAGGTGACTTAGAAGCACTAGAAAAAGAATCAATAAAGGAAAAGAACGGAATGCCCTAAGAATACCACATCCCACGAGGAAGGAGCCACTGAGCCTAAATTACCATACCTTTGCACTCATCCCCATTACAAGCCTTAGAAAGACCTTTTTGATCTTGAGTAAGCCGAATCGAAAGTCGATTGAAAAATAAGGGCAAACCTATAGGTAAAAACATGCATTGGGATCCTCTTTTTGAGTGTGAGCGTTGCATCTAATTCCTGATCTTGAATTGATTAACCTCTGTGTGTGAATATGGAATCATTCTTCATGTGAGGGCATTTAGATGCTTTTTGTCGAGCTTGAACTTGCACAAGTAGCAAGTATTGCAAGCACGAGAATCTCTAGTAATGGTGTGTCACAATTTGAATCTTTGAGTACACAGTTGATCTGTGTATAAGTAATTTGAATCTTGTTGTGTATATTCTTCATTGAGTCTTGTGTAGCACTGTTTGAGACACCCTTTTTGAACGGCTGAACTTGAGTTTGCTTGAGGACAAGCAAAAGTTTAAGTTGGGGGTGTTGATGTGTCCACAAATAGGACTCATTTAGGTCTTTATTTTGATAAGAATAGTGTCCTCGAATGCATATTTTATCTAAATATCTGATGAAAACTCTTAAGTATCAGGTATTTGAAGTTTTAGTGAAAACATGGACACTTAGGCACAAAAAGGAACTAAGAGGCTGAAAAGAACGACGAAGCTGAAACCTAAGCATCAGCAAGCACACTTGGCGATTTGCCGAAGGGATTTACTCCGCCCTTTGTTCTAGTACGTGAAGCCCTGAAGGAGAAGGATCAAAAAGGCGATGAAAGGAGTAGTCGGCGCTTCGCCGAATAGTTCCATCAAACACTACTATACCGCCCAATGGCCCAGAACGTGAAGGTGTTGAAGGCAAGCACGAAACAGCGATGAGACAAATGAAAGGCGAGTTGCCAAAGTCATTCGGCGAAATCGACTAACTTCGTCGAAAGATCCGCCAGCGCTATTTTCTGAAGTCTATCAATACTGAACTTATTATTAATTTTTAGAGACGGACTTTTATTTTTAATTTACATAATAGAATAGTACTTTTTGGATATTTTCTCTCAAGTTTGGAGAGGGTTTTTCGAAACTTGAAGAAAGGAGTTCATCTTCCCCAAGTTGGAAGTGGGTTTTCTCTATTCTTCTTCCTTTTCTTAAATTAAGGTTTAATTTCTTATACCCATTTGATTTTACTATCATTTTAGGTGTATTTTTTTATATCTTGATGTGTGGCTAAAAACCCCCATTCTTGGAGTGTGATTTAGCAAATATGTGTTGCTATTATTGTTGGGTCTTGCTTGCAGATAGGTTAGATGTAGTTTAATGGTGATTTCACCTAGTGGTTGTGGTTTAATCAAAAGGGTTTGTAGTTGCAAATACAAAGCCACTCATGTGTTTTTGGCTTGCACGAGAGGGAGGTCGCGAAACCAAGACCACTAGACTGATTGCCTAAGGAGTGGGTTGAGCTGAGGTTCAGCCCGAGAGGGTGAGCCCTAGTCCCATTTCCTAATACTCAGGTCGAGAGAGTGAGTGGGGTAAGGCGTAGGCTGGTCTTCATGCAGCAAATGGGTGTCCGAGAGGAACGTATTTGAAACGGGGTAAGTTGCCCGAGAGGGAAGTTATTTCCATTTAAAGCTTAGCCTAGTCACTATTATCTTACAAATTTCTTATCAAAAGCATGTACCCAACTACTTATCTCAACTTGTATTGCAGGCACACCCCAAGAACATTTCCCCAAACTTGATTTTCTTGTTAATTTTTGCTATATTTACTAATTGTGACAAAACCCCAAAATTGATATTTGACACTTTCATGTCACCCCCTTTTATTTACCATGTTTTGTTCATTAATGTCTTTAGCTACGACCAGTTAGAGCTAAATTTTATTTTTCTATCAATTCTCAAAACCACTCCCTTGGGACACGACCCCAACCTTTAGTTGGGTTACTATATTATCAACGATTGTAGACACTCATACCATAGGTTAGTGTCGTTGGTCACGATAAGCATCAGAGAAACTTGAGTGACTCTAAATGGACCGGTCTACTTGGACTTGATCTTGCCAGGAAACAAGCGCAATCTTGAGTTGAATAAGATACTACATCACCCACAACAAATTCACGCTTTTCAATCTTTTGATCATGGTATTTCTTCATTTTATCCTTGTAAAAGGCTAAACTTTCATATGCTTTTAGGCGAAACTCATTTATCTCCTCCAGTCTTTGGCTCGATGGGGTGCCCAATCCAAATTCAGCTTCTTTAGCGCCCACATTACTTTATACTCTAGCTCTACAAGAAAATAGCATGACTTCCCATATATAAGTTTATAGGTGGACATAGCTATGGGAGTCTTGAAAGTGGTGCGATAGGCCAATAGAGCATCATCAAGCCTTCTTGACCAATCAGTTTTGTTAGCGTTCACAGTCTTTGCAAGGATTTGCTTTATCTCACTGTTTGACACCTCAACATGCCCACTTGATTGCGGATGGTAAGGAGTGGCTACATTGTTAAAAACACCATATTTCTCTAGCAACGACTTGAACAACTTGTTACAAAAGTGAGAATCTCGATCGCTTATGATTGCCCTTGGTATACCAAATATGGAGAATATACTTTTTTTCAGGTTTGCGGTGACACTCTTTCCCTCATTGTTTGAAAGCGCAATTGCCTCCACCCATTTTAATACATAGTTAACCGCAACAAGAATATACTTCATCCCATGTGAACTCACAAACGGCCGCATGAAGTCAAGACCCTAGACATCAAATAGCTCAATCACTAATATCGGGTTCACAGGTAGTTCTTGCTTCTTTGAAATTCCTCTTTTTGTTTGGCAACGATCACAAGACTTGGCAAAATTATGAGGATCTTGGTGGATGGTAGGCCAGTAATACCCACACTGCAAGATTTTATGAGTAGTCCCAATACCACTATGGTGCCCACCAATAGGCAATGAATGACACGACTCTAGTATACTCATCATCTCGACCTCAGACACACAACAACTAATAATCCCATCAGCACAAATACGAAACAAGTAAGGCTCATCCCAAAAGAACTTCTTCACATCACACATATTTTTTTTCCTTTGGTGAAATGACAAATTCGATGGAACCAAATCACTTGCCAAGTAATTAGCAAAATCTGCGAACCAAGGGATAAGATCATAAGAAAAAGCCTATACCTATTCATTTGGGAATGCATCATTAATCTCAGCCCCATTTCCTAAATAGAGCATAGCTTCCTCCTCCAATCTTGACAAATGGTCGGCAGCCTGATTTTTCGTTCCCTTTCTATCCGTCACCTCAAATCGAGCTCTTACAGCAACAATACCCACCTAATCAACCTTAGTTTTGCATCCTTTTTAGCCATCAGATACCTCAATGCAGAATTGTTAGTATGCACTATGACCTTACCAAGCATGTATGATCAAATTTTCACGAATGCGAAAACCACAGCATAGAGTTCCTGTTCAGTCACAATATAGTTCTTCTGAGCCACATTCAGAGCTTTGCTAGCAGAGTAAGTAGGATGAAGAATCTTCTCTAGCCTCTGTCCAAATACCACACCAAATGCCACCCCACTCGCATCACACATCATTTCAAATGGTTGCCCCCAATTCGGTGAAATAATTATAGGTGTTGATACTAACCTTTCTTTCAACTCTCCAAATGCTCTCAGACAAGCATCATCAAAATTAAACTTACACTCCTTTTCAAGTAACTTGCACAATGGGTGTGCAATTTTCTAGAAATATTTTATGAATCGCCAGTAGAAACCGGCATGCCCAAGAAAATTCCGAACACCTTTTACAGATATAGGTGGTGGAAGATTTTCTATTACCTCGACATTGGCTATATCAACCTCAATACCTTTCTGTGAAATCCAATGACCCAAAAATATCCCCTCTTTCACCATGAAGTGGCACTTTTCCCAATTGAGCACAAATTACATTTTTCAAATCGTTTTAGTACCTCGGCCAGATGCATCAAAAAATCATCAGACCAGTCACCTACCATAGAGAAATCATCCATAAATACCTCAATCGTGTCCTCCACCATATCTAAAAATATTGACATCATACACCTCTAGAAAGTCGCTGGAGCATTACACAACCCAAATGGCATCCTCTTGAAGGTGAAAGTCCCATATGGACAATTGAAGGTGGTTTTCTCTTGATCTTCCGGAGCTATGGAGATTTTATTGTATCCCGAATACCCATCTAGAAAGCAATACCAACCCTTACCAGTAAGACGATCCAACATCTGGTCCATGAACGGCATCGGAAAGTGATCTTTTTCTGTGCAGGCATTTAGCTTGCGATAGTCCATGCGTACTCTCCATCCAGTCACTGGCCTCATTGGGACCAGTTCATTTTTTGCATTAGGAGCCATAATAATCCCACCTTTCTTAGGTACACACTGAACAGGACAGACCCAACTACTATCTGCAATGGGGTATATGAGTCCAACATACAACCATTTTATAATTTCCTTTTGCACTACCTCTTGCATAGGTGGATTAAGTATCCTTTGGTGCTCAGTACTTGGCTTACTGTTTGGAATGAGTTGGACTTTTATGAGAACAAATGCCAGGAGGAATCCCAATAATGTCCGCAATAGTCCATCCAATAGCTCGCTTGAACCTCTTCAACATAGAAACTAATGTCTTTACTTGTTCCCCACTCAAATCAGCAGCAACGATTACCGATAAAGTGCCATCTTTCCCCAAGAATACATACCTCAAATAAGATGGTAGAGCCTTGAGCTCCAATTTTGGAGGCTCTTCCACATACGGTTTTGCAGGTGGAGCATCACGATTCTTTATATATAACTCCAATCTTTCTGGTTTGGAACGGAATACGAACCTATTAAGTACAACAACTAATTCATCATAGTCTGCAATACCATCACCGTCAAAATTCATCATTACCGCTGCCAGTGCATCAACACCCAACCTCTCTTCAATAGACACTTCAGAACCTCGCTCCATAATATGATTCAGCACTGAAACTGACTTGAGACTGCTTTCCTGCTTCATAGACCTATAAATATTCAAAGTTACCTCCTCATTATTCAGTTAAAACTTCATCTTCCCTCTCTTCATATCGACTAAGGCACGCCCAGTAGCAAGGAATGGTTTCCCTAGGATGACGGGAACCTCAAAATCAACTTCACAATCAAGTATCACAAAATTCACCGAAAAAATGAATGACTCCACTTTCATAAGGACATCTTGGAGAACACCAATGGGCTTCTTTACAGTTCTTTCACCCATAAGTAGACGCATTGTTTTTTAGCCCCTAAACCAAATTTTTTGTAGATCGACAATGGCATCAGATTAATTATGGCACCCAAATCACATAGAGCATTTGCAAAATGCAACATACCAATGCTACACGGAATAGTGAAAGCTCCAGGATTCTCTTTCTTTTGCACAAGTGACCTCGTAGGAATGGCACTACAATGTTGCAACCTCTCATCATTCTTAAAACTGACAGTCCTCTTTTTGGTCACCAAGTCCTTTATGAATTATGCATAGCCAAGTCTTTTCTCCAAAGCTTCTATCAACAGAACATTAATGGAAAGTTGTTTCAACATAGTTATGAACCTGCTGTATTTTCCCTCTTTGGTATTTTTCACCAATCTCTGTGGAAATGGAGGTGGAGGTCTAAGCATGGAAACAACTTTTTGGGTCACTTCTGCTTTCTTCTCTGTAGCAATTTTTGACTCTCCAGTAACCTCAATCTCATCAGCATCTTTTTCTACCACTCTTTCAACCTAGATGACATAGGGGGATCAATGGTCTACTTACCTCCGCGAGTAGTGACTGTCATACATTGCCTATCATTCTTTGAATTCTGGATGGTGTTGCTATGAAGTGTGCCAAGCTGACGTGGGTTCACAGTAGTGGACAACTGATTAAACTGCTACTCAAGTTGCTTGTTCGACACTACATGGGCATCAACTTTTTGACCGATTCCAGAAAAGTCATTTCACATCTCTTTCACATTCTCATCAGTTGCATCAAACCTCTTCATCATATTTTGCATCATAACCTCAATGTGAGACATACTACCACCAACCTCTCTATTACAATATTTCCTATTACCAGGTGGAACATAGGGCCCAACTCTCTCATTTATATTTCCATAATTGTTCCGGTTGTATTTGTTATCACGATTGTAGTTCCCATCCCGGATATAGTTTCCCTCTTGATTGTAGTTTCCATAGTTCTGACCTTGGTTTCCTTGACCTTGGCGCCAATTATCCGAGTTGAAACATTAGGTGTTGGTTCAAAAACCCCTGTCTGATCATTAACCAAATATGCATCCTCCTCATAGTAACATTCCTCAATTGGTGGTGGTAGAAGTCTAGTTAAGTAGTTTACCGCATTCACTTTTTCTGTATCTTCACGCATATGTTTCAATACCAAGCCCAGTTCTGTCCTCATTTGAGCCATCCCTTCACGAATATCATCATTTGCTTGATTTGGTGCAGTTTGGACCGTGAACGTGTTCCTTCCAGTATTAGCCTTTCTAGTGCTCCATGCCTTATTGTTTCAGGAAATCTTCTCTAGTTTCTTAGCAATCTCCTAAAAAGTGCACTCACCATATGACCCTCCAACAATAGTATCTACCACAACCTTTCCATTGTCATCCTCCTCTCTCCAAAATATTCCTTTAATGACTCATCATTAATGTGGTGATTCGGAACACTTCTAATGAGCACAATGTACCTATCCAATGAACTGCTTAGACAATATCTAGGTAGTGCTACAAAATTGTTCAATTTATCCTTGTGATTTAGCTTCTTAGACACCGGAAAGTACTTCACCATGAACACGCTATGCAGTTGGTCCCATGTATGAATCGAATTGTATGGAATCTCAGAAAACCACACCGCAGCATCACCAGTCAATGGTAGAGGGAAGACACTCAAACCTATGACCTTCATATCCAATTCTGGTCGTCGCACACAACTTTTACAAACACTCCTCAATTTAGCCATGTGACCATGTGGATCTCCCGAAGCTAGACCAGAAAACAACCTTCTTGCTGTAAGTATTTGTATCAGACTGCTGGTCACCACAAATGTATACCCTGAAGGTAGATGAGGAAGAACAATAGGCCCTTCTGATTCAACTATATTGTAGTCAACACTGTAGTTATCACGCAACCTAGGTGCTGGAGGATTATGCACCTTCTCTGCATCTCCAATTAGATTACCACCATGTACCTGAGCGTGCACATTTACAACCCCAGGAGGCTGCAATTCTACTCCATCACCTAGATTCTCTCTAATTGGATTGTTGTGAAGCCCTTGATTATTATTTTTTCTCAAAGTATTACTCAGCTCTGGATTGTAGGGGGTCAATGGTTCACCTCGACTCCAAGTACTTGGCATATACTAGAGTGTAAACCTTTAGAAAAAACAAAAACAAAAGAAAAACGTAAAATCAGGAAATACTTGACTAAATTTCAACAATGTAGTTAAACTTATCTAAAAGCCAAATTCCCCGCAGTGGTCCCAAAATTCGATACGCTCAAATTACACCTCCTTAGAGAAGTATAAGTGATCGTTATCAAGTAAAGAACCGAACTTGTAGGTTGGGGTCGATCCCACGAGGAATATGGTTCAGATCTAAACTTAACTCACTATTATATCCATTTAGTCAAATTATTTCCGAGGAAAGTAAATAGGGGGAATTTTGTAATTAAGTAACAGATTTAAATGCTTAAGTGACTAGTAGACAAGATTTTAACTTTGGTTTATCATTATGAGAAAGGAACTAGGGTATGTGTGTTCCCCACAAGTTCTTAACGCAGTAATCGTAATAATAGTAATCATTTCCTAATGTTTTAGATGCAAAGTTGGTAAGTTAGGTATACCTAAGTGATTGGTCCTCCATGTAGGGAATTTTACCACGCACCTTGGTCCGGCTACATATGTATGTTTTATGAACCCTTACCTTTTACCCCAGATTAGTCATCACATCAATGTATGGCTTAGTTTTCACCCTCACTCCAATTGTCATTAGACTGTTAGATAATGTCTACTAAATCTCTATTGTTTAATCCTTTTCTCAATCTTTACCTCCTTTGTCCGTCAAGTAAGAACAAGACGAGTTCTAACGCATGCACTCGTTAAAAAGATTTCTAAGCAAAAGGATTAACAATACATGCATAAACACTATTCAAGAATTACTTAATTATTATTCATACATTGCTAATTGCTCATGGTTCCCACAACCCTAATTATGGATTTACCTACTCATGCTTGAGAGTTCACAATTCATAATTAAGAAGAAAGAATTCATGAACTTACAATTAGAATAGATGAAACCTGAAATCTTCAATTGAATTTCAAAGTGAAAATCTTATAAAACGAAATTTGGAAAGTTAATTGCTAAGAGTTTGTAAATTAATTCCCAAAGAACAAAAACTAGAAGTTAACAATAATTTCTAACCCCCAAAAATGAGGATTAAAACTCCTATTTATAGAAAACAAATCCCAAATAAAATAGGAAACAAAGTAAGGAAATAAAGTTCTAGAACGTGGCTTCTATTGACGGCACGACCTACAGACCGTGGGTCGACCTACAGTCCATAGGTCATCCTTTGTGGCTCAACATTTAGAAACTTCATCAGGTACTGGAACCTCAACTTCTCTGATCTCATTGACGGTTATGCAGGAACGGTCCGTCGTCTGCTGCGTGGTTCCACACTTCGTCAAACTTCCCGGATCTTCCACCGATAATGCCATCACCTACGGTGCATGGAGAGAACTACGGTCTGTCCTAGCATTCCATGGACTAAATACTGAAACTCAACTCCCATACCAGGACCTATGACTGCCCATCCATGACCCGTCGTAGGACCTACGGTCCGTGAGTGGCTCCATTGGTGGCTACTTCTGCACTTTTCAGCTGGCATCTTCATCAACCGCATCCAAGCCTTTTTCCTGCAATAATTAAACATCAAATATTATCCTAATAAAATAAATTAGCCTAAGACACACACAAACTTTAAGTGAAACGCATCAAAAATACCGTAAACTCA